AAGCTCACACATTATAATATTATTCTCAACTATTAATGGGGATAATAAATCATGATATATTTCTTATTGAGTCTTATTTTTTCATCTTTCTCCCAATGAGAGAAATTCACATACTGTCGGAGGGTCAAATTTACAACATCTTTCTTAAGTCAAGATTAAGCAAATGTTTAGTGTTAGTTGAATCTAAAACTTCCAACTCTTCTAGAGTTTTGTTAGATGTAAGGTTTTGATAATAACAAACCAAGTATGTTCTGGTTTAATATGATGATCGATCACCTGATCGATCAAAAGGTAATCGATGAGGTATCAGATAATTTGTCCCAATGTAATTTAAGGTTGGTATTAAGTTTGATTGATAAATTGCTAGATAATTCAAATGTTATGTGTTGATCAATCATTGCTAACAATGTTTGGTATAGAAGTCTGCAAAAAAATTATCAATCGCTTGATTGATAATTAGATGATCAACCAACTGACAAATAAAGGGATATTATTCTGGTAAGAGATTATTGATCACTTGATTGATAAATAAATTATCAATGACAAGACAGATAAATGGTAAAACCCTTCCACTTAAGTTATATTCTATTTCATTCACCATTTATCGATCACTTTATCAATCAAAGATTTATCGATAACCTGATCAAACATTGCTTAATAACTTACTGGATTATCAATATATTTTTTTGTTAAAGGTTGTTGCCTAGTCCCTTAATCAATCACTTGATCAATCAGTGATTTATCGATCAAATGATCGATAATCACTATCTCACTGCACCTACTTTTTTTGTTTATGTTTTCGAACACCTGATCGATCATTTAATTATCGATGAAATGATCAATCATCCAAACTTCTGAGTATTTTGTTTTCATATAACATGATCGATCAAGGTTTATTCCTGGACTTTTAACTAAGTTCTTTCAAACAATATTTTATCGATCACTTGATCGATCAATCTTTAATCGATCATCTACTCAAACTTTATACAATCTGTGTTTCCATCTTAAAATATTTTTTTGACTTTTTATCGATCAATTTTCCTATCATTCATTTATTGATAAAGTATTCAATCATTGGTCTTTAGAAAACCATTATACTCTTACTTAGCTTTATCGATAATTTGATCAATCAAACAATTTTTGATCAATTATTCGATCAATGTACAAATTCATTTCATAACAAACTTTTCACAATGTTGTCAAAATATCTCATATTTCTATCTTCAAGCTTTTTCCAGCCTTCCTGTTTATCTTAATTCTCTATTATAAGGGATTTAAAGCCATAAGTGATCTTAGACGTTTTCCTGCTTAATCTTTCAAGGTCACTCTTTTTCATTTATCGATCACTTGATAGATCATTAATTAATCCATAACTTGATCGATAAATATAGTTACCTGTTGCAAATTCTTTCACTTTGTTTAATCGATAACATGATCGATCAACCAGTTATCGATTATGACTTCAATTAAGGATGTTCAGTTTATGTTTAAAGTACTTGATGATTGATTGATTCCATTTCCAAACACCACATGAATGTTCATTATTATCACTTGATCAGTTATCTTCATGAGTTTTATTCTGACAGAAAAACTTATTAGTTTCAAGTATTGTTACAGAATACGAAGCTCAACAGATACTCAACAGATATTTAGTAGCCCTTAACCAACTATGTCAGAAGCATTCATGGCGAATACTATTGCAACTGGAAAAACACGCAACCGAAATTCCAACGGCTAAAAGCTCTTCAGTCTAACAGTTAATTAAACTTCTCTAACTATAAAAGGCATGAAGAACATTGAATGAGTAATTGAATATGCGAGCTACCCTCTGCTGAAATATTTACTGTTGCATTCAATACTCTGTTCTTTACCAAGCTTCAGTGTTTCATATTTATTTACTCTGTGAAAGAGACTGATACACCTCCTTTACTCACTTTCTAAGAGTAACTCAAGAATGTGGACTCTTAAGAAGGATTGTAACTTACAGGTAGTAAGAGGGAGTGATTGAAAAAATCAATTGATGTATTGAGACGCCAAGAGCCCGTTTAATCTTGGATCATAGTGAAAATCTTAGAGGTGTTTTGAGGACTGGACGTAGGTCAAGTGGTTAAGGCCAAATCAGTATAAATCTGATGTCTTTGCTCTATAGTGAAATCCTTCTAACTCAAAGCTTTCTCTGTTTTTATTAATTTCACTATTTCAATACAGTTAAATTTTTTATAACTCACTCAATTCACCCCCTCTTGGGTGAGACTGCCACTAACAAGTTTTAGTTAATATGTTATTTTCATTATTATATTTTTACCCGCCTAAATAAAAGAAAATATCATATTCTTTATTAACTAAAAATTTTTTGAGGAGATTGTGAAGAGAAATCCGTTATAATAAATAAAAGATAATCAATTTATTTTTGATATGTCCCCCAAGAAAAAGATATCTCACAACAAAATCTTTTCATATCTTTTCTATTTTGTAGATAACATTAAATAAAATAAAAGATTTCGAGTGATAGGGTCTTTAACTATAAATTTTTTCAAAGTATAAGAGAAGGACTCAGAGATAGTGGGTGGAGTATTTAAGCCCAATTTTATCCAAGAAAAACAGAATCTTTGTTTGCTATTTTTGCTAGAATAAAATAAATAAATAAATAATGACCCTATTTAATAACATGAAATTAACACACACACACAGATATATATATATATATATATATATATATATCAAATTGAATATCATAAACATATAAGACAAAGATAAAAAAAATTTAAACTTTTAATTAATAAAATGTAAAACATGACTATAAAATAATATGAAAAAGTAAATTTTATGTGATGAATGTGAATCTCCACTGCAAAACCATGTTTATGATGCTCGAGATATGGAATTAAGGTCTGATTTGGTACATTACCTAGAATACAGGAGTATTTTTCATTTAATTCAAGGTACCAATTACATTATATATGCCTTCTATATATAGGCATAGCTTTACATCTTTAACAGAATTTACAAATTACATAATAATATGAGATAATTGTGAAATACAGAGATAATGAGAGATATTATAGATAATAAGAGAAATATGGACATTCACACGAATATTATTATATTCATAACATTGATATAATACAAATAGAAAATAATATATATAACATACATAGTATTTTATTAAATTCTGTAGATAAAAATATTAATTATTAATAAATATTCACTAAAATAAGAAATTAAATTGAAATACATAATACTATAGTAAATTATATATATTTTTCGTTTTAAATATTATATATATATTTAATTTTATGTTAAGAGTTTCTTGTGATATGTGGCAGCAAAAGTCAGCAACAGATTAACTATAAAAATTTTCTATCGCTTATTGGTAACATTGGTTTCTTTTTAATTTTCTTCTCTAGCATTCTATCTCTTCATGTTCTCCACTGTGCGACTCCCCCTCGGGGTGGAGGGGGGGGGGGAGAGATTGAGTGAGGGTGAGGAAAAGAAGGATGATTTGTTTGGGTTTCTTTTATGACATTTGGTAAGCTATCCATCCTTGTTATTTTTTCAGTTTCTCCCCTTCGATTTTTGAGAGTTTGCAGATTTTAAAATTTTGGAGCTGCTAGCTAATTATTTTGCTATTTATTGAACTAACAAGGTTAGAAAAAGAATTTCTACGATTTAAATTTTTTTTATTAAATGATTGGTTTGAGAAAATTGAAGCTAGAATTTTGTTGAAAAATTATGATTTATGATAATGAGTATGTTAAATTTGAAAAAGAATTGTTAATGGCTCAATATAAAGAAAGACATGAATGGATTATCGAAAAGAATTATTTTTAATAAAAATGCGTCGTTCACTTGAGGCTTTTAGAAGGCTTTGCATTGAGGTGTGTTCTAGGTTGCAATATAGCACAATTTATCAGACACAAAATAATAGAGACTGAAAAAACTATCCAGACTTCTAAAAATATGTTGAGATCTTATACCATATAATTGAATTTTAAGGCATGTTCAAATACCTAATAGAAGAGTGTAATGAATGGGCTTAGCATTAAGGAGGACTTAGACCATGAGAATAGGACTATTCGACCTAATGCATATTCGAATTGGCCAAGCAAATGTTAAGTGTACTGAAAAAAAGAATTATCTCTAACAAGAAGATACTTGTGTTTTAGCAAAAAAATGATAGAGAGAGGGGGGTGTAATAGTTTATAATCAATTGATCGTAATTAATAAAATATGAGATTCTAACAAAAATTGATCCAGTTAGTAAAAAATCAGCTTGTAACCCACAAAATCGAGTTCGAATCCCGTTGCTGATGTGAAAATGTTGTTAGTGGATGATTTGAAAGCTCTGAGTCTGTAGGCCTGTCCTATAACCTTGATGAGTCCTCACAACCCAACTCACCAAAACTTTAAAACTTTAATATGTATTAAAAAAAATGAGACCACTTTCTATTTTTACTTTCTTTGGCTATTGTTTATCTTTCTTCTAATTTGTAATGCACCATAATTGATGTATCAGAGTAATATATCAGTGTGATCGTTACAGAATGCAGGCAACCATAAATTAACCATTCACGATTTGTGAATGGGTAAAACGTGACATGATCTGATCTTTTGTTTCCCAGAAATAATCTCATCAGACACGTTCACCCGTAATTCCTGGAAACTAAACTATTTCCCTGAGAACTAAATTGATAAGGGTTCAATAGCCATTCGCCATCGGCAACATTCCAAGAAGAGATTCCCCGTCTCGACAGAAAAACAATGGAACCCCTATTAAAAATATGACTATTAAAATACCACAAAAGTGTATATGATTACATTACATAGTTTGTAACGATGAGAATCAGTAATTTATCAAAATATGACTATTAGAAATACCAGAGCTATCATATGAAACCTATGGAACCTACATTTGTATTGGATCAATTCCATCTTCACACTTCTCTTATCCGTGTTAGTATTCTGAATCTGAGGCATGCATGCCATCAGTGGCATCGTTTTTTAGAGAGAAAAAAGGAAGGAAATTTAAAGAACCCACTAGGCCACCATCAATGCAATCCAGAAGATTACTTGGCTACTTGTTCCAGAACAGAAACTTTCTTCCATGTTTCTCCCAACCCACTGATTGCCAATGGTGGTAGTGAAAACATATTAATCGTGGAGCTTCCAGATCTAATTTCCTGCAAAACATGTAATGCTGATATGGTGCTCTTCATAAAAAGGCTCTGCTTATTCACAATCTTTGCCAGTTCCTTGGGTACCAACGGACAATCACCGCTCTTGAAAGAAGTTGAAGTTGTTGTTGAAAGATCGCATCCATCAGATTGAGAAGCAGCATCAACCGAGGCAGGAGTATCATTCACCGGAAATAAACCATCCAGCATTGTTTCACATTCTTTTATAAGCTTGTAGAGCATCTCTGTAGTAAAGAAAGGCTGCCGCAAGACTTTTCGGATGAAAGATAAGCGAATTAGGGCACCAGTTCTCTTGTCATACTTCTTCAGTATTTTCACAAGTCCTGTACGGCGGAAATTGAGAAAACAATTAGGCATTTTGAGCAGTTAATAACTAGTAAATCTATGACTTATGGAACACAATCTCCGCTTATGCTTGAAAGATCAATTCAGGCTTCTCACAGATTTGATCAAAAACCAATATTGTTTATAGTGGTAGCAGAGAAACTCTGCACGATAAAAAAGCAATTGAATATCTAAAAATTAGAAACACTGCTGATATAGACATGAGCCAATAGAATTATATCAGTTAAATCAAATAACAATATTCTTGTTAAAATACTTCTCAAGTATTTTTCACAAGTCCTCTACAGAGCAGATTGTGGGAAGCATTAGACATTTTGAGCTGTTAATAACATGTAAATCTTATGAAGCACAATCTACAATCATGCTTGAAAGTCCAACTTCAGGCTGATCACGCAGACATATCCCCAGTAAAATCATTCGGTCTTTAAATAGTATTGCTTACAGCAATAACAGAGTAACTATGCACGGAGAATTACTGCTGGCACAGACATGAGCCAATAGAATTACGTTAGTTAAATCAAATGATTAAATACTTGTTAAAGTATTGCCTTTTGATCATTTGTTACTACAGGCGTAAATCAAGCCAAATGATAGATTCGGTTTATCGTTTAAACCTAACTGCTAAGCGCGGCGGGGGGGGGGGGGGACAATGAGGAGACTCGTGCCTTCAATCTAATAATGCACTCTTCTTCTTTCTCAACAAAGAAGGTGTTAAATTTGTCGAGTTCTCCCTCCAGCAAGTTCCTGAAGTCAATCTCCTCCGGTGAAGACTCACCGGAGGCGGCACCATCATCGAGCCTGGGCCGTTTGGACAGCCTGTCGTCGACGGAGGATTTGGGAGGCTCCAAGATCTTCAACTTCTTCTTGAGTTCCTTGTAAGAGAGGAACTTGTCCCGCCACTCCGGTAGGGTTTTCTCGATCTGGTTGTTGAGACTCTTGCCGAATTTCATGTCTCGTCGCCGGATTCCGGAAAGACTGAAACAACTCCCAAAAGAAAGACGAAAATATGGGAAAGAGGGGGGGCCAAAATTGTCAAACCAAAAAGGGTCCTTTATTCAATCAGGAGGAAGTGAGGGAAGAGCCAAAGGATTGATGAGAGAGTGAGGACCGGGAGGTGATATAACGGTAAAAGGGGAAGAATATTCGGAGGGTTTATTGAGGGAATATCCTTATGAATGGAGAGTATATTTGGGGTCATACTCCATCGACGTCGAGTCATGAGCCGAAATTTCTTGAGATATTATCAATATTTAAAAATAAATAAACAAACTTGGGTGCGTTGGCGAGCCGCGCCACCAACGATACGGTACATTTGTTCGTTGGTGGCAGCAGGTTGCTTCAGGGGATGCATCGCCATGTCTTTTTAGCTCTGCCTCCTGTGCGGCTATACTTCATATATATATATAGATATATATATAAAATAATTATTTTAACATTTAATTTAATCTTAAATATAATATATTAATGTATTTTTTATATTTAATTATTGTTTAAAATAGTTCTTATAGTAGTCACTCTCATTAAATAGTAGTTCTAACTAATACATATTATTAACAAAGATATCTTATTAAAAAAAATATTTATTTATTCTAAATAATTGACATAACTAATTTTTTTAATCTACTCAAATTAATCAACTAGTTTTTATATTAAAGATCGGAAGTAGTACCTCTTATTTTCATATTCTCCTATTATAGGTAATTTTATTCAAGACACTATTGGACGTTAAATATAAACACTTTTTAAGCTAGTTTGTAGGATAATTTATACTACAAATTAGTTTTTATGACACTAACTTAAATTGAACAACAAATTAAATCTTATATTAAAAATCAGAAATAATATATTATAAATAATTGTAATTTACAATGGGGTAAAATTAAAAAAATATTAATTAATAATTCTCTAAATAACTTAGATTTGAGACCCTGCATTTTTTTTCCTCCAAAGACTGCAAATTTATTCTAAAAGTTACCTTATAATATAAATAAAAGGATATATTTTTTCTTGCAAAGACTTGTATTCTTGTTATTTACAATATAGATCTGATTTAACTACGGTCGTAGACTAAAAATTATAATTAAACGAAAGTCACATCATTCAAGATGTGAAAATTTTCATATTTTAAAAATGGTACTCCTCCGGTCCTAATTATAAGACCCAATTGACTTATTTGAGGAAATTAAGGAAGTAAGTTAAGTTGGTTATTTATAATAAATAAGTGTTGTCATTCCTAAAATATCCTTGCTAATTAAGTATATTGGCTAAAACTATCATTATTAGAAGGATTATCTTGGAAAAAAATGCATAAATATAAGAGACAAAATGGATTGGGTCTTATAATTAGGACCAAATAAAAAGTCAAATTGGGTCTTATAATAAGGACCGGAGGAGTACTAGGTTCATTTAATTAAAGAAAAAGTGTTACTGTTAGCAAATTATAAATAATACGATTTATTTTAATTTTCATCAAAAATCTACCCTAATTCTGTAGTAGTATCAAATAATTCATAACAACATCACTAAAAATAGGAAGAATTACAATAAGGTCTCAAAAAAAAAAATAACTACTTAAAAGTCTCAATAACAATCTAAGCAACCTGTAATAAGTAGAAAATGACAACTTCTAGAACTTGTTTTGTGATTATTTTTTTTCATGGGATCTCATTATAATTTTTCCTTAAAAATAATATAGCTAATAAGAAAATATCTCATGACATACTGCCAATATTACTATAATAAATTTTAACCCAAAATAATGACGCCCATATATCCATCTTATTAATTTATTGTTAAAGTCTCTATTGTTTTAAAAGAGATGTACACTAATGATTTGAGATTACAATAAGGATCGAACCCATAATTCCCCACTTACATATAAAAAAGAGTTTTAATATCACTATATTATAAGATTAATTGGTTGAAGTGTCTAAGTCTAAATTGTTGAACTCACAACACCAAGGTTAAAGAGTAGCTTTCAACCTAAGATGTACTATAGCAGAAGATCAAAGATGATCTTGCTTAGATATTTTTATATTTTTTTGACCTGAGAAATATTTTTATATTAGATATTTGTAAGTGTGAACAGATTTCAATCATGGCTCTTGTCAGTTTTAGATAAGAAGATATTTTTAATAAAATATAGTAAATTCATCTTACACATTAAACATAATTCGTTTCATCATTTGATTAACAATAAAATAATAAATTATTAAATATGATAGAACGATTAGTCATAATCAGATCATTTTACATATTCAGCAGACAACCTATTTTAGTTATCATCATCAATTTATCAATCAAAGGGTAGGTTTAAAGAGTAGCTCTTAGTAGATGTACTAACTAAAAGAACCAGATAGGTGTCAGTATTTGGTTATTCAGTTCACTTATCAGTGATAATCAAATTAACTGAATAATTGAAGAGTGCATATTTAGAAAACCGAACCGAAACTAAAAAGTATTAAATAACAGAACTGAATTAACTAAAATAAATTCAGTTCGGTTAGCCAATTTATTCAGTTAGTGGGCTTTTATAATACTACCTCCGGTCCTAATTATAAGAGCCAGTTGACTAATTTGAGAAGATTAAGAAAGTAAGTTGAGTTAGTTATTTGTCCTACATAGGTGTTGTCTTTCCTAAAATATCCTTACTAATTAAGTGTATTGACTAGAACTATCATTGTTAGAAGAGCTATTTTGAAAAAAAAAATGTATAAATATGAGAGATAAAATATATTGGGGTTTTATATTTAGAACCAAAATAAAAGTTAAACAGGATCTAATATTAAGGACCGGAAGTAGTATGATATCAATACTCCCTTTATATCTACTGATGAGGATCTAGAATGTGTGTGTTTGTATATAGGAATGATATAGTGACAGGAAAATTACAGCATATAACTATCATTTTCACTGCATATCAGTTCTTATAACATTATAACATATCAGTTCTTATAAACTTCTCATTTCATCAATATATAACTATCATTTTTTGTTGAAAAACTGACACAATAACAGAAAATTAAGTTATAATTCAAAGGTTCAATGAATCTATCGAGCAAAGCAGAGATAAACGTAGCCATGAATTCAAAGGTTCTCAATAAATGGAGTTACTTTTGGTCCATAGCCGCTACATCATCTTACTTCTTAAGCTTGAAAGCTGAGGCTGAACAATTGAAAGAATCAGAAGGAAAAAAAATAAACTTACAATGAAGAAGTCATGTTCTCACGGAGATGCAGGGCAACGCTGTCGGAGGAGAGGCCCAGAGAGACAATGACGGAGGAAATTGGAGAGGACGCTAGAAGCTTGAAAGATGAAGCTTAAAAGCTGAATAGCGGGGGTGAGGAGGCCACGATGCTACGATTTGGAGGCGTAAAGAGACAAAGCAGAGGTGCCAAAGAGACAATGATGGAGGAGAGGATGTTGAAAGCCAGAAAACTGGAGGTCAAAGAGACGAACAATGGAGGTGAGGAGTTGAGGCGACAATGGCATGATTTGAATTGAGATAGCCTGAGTAAGGGGATTTGATTGAGGTAGGAGAAGGGAAGGAGGCTGCGGGATTTAGGGCTAAGAGTAAGACTGAGGGAGGAAGAGACCGAGAGTGATCGCTGACAAGAGAGCAAGGGATCGAAATATTTTGATATTAGAAAAGAGAGAAAGATCAACAAAAACAAAAAACAAAAATGTTTGTATATAGTTATTCAGGTATAACCGAAATATTTTAAGAGACACGACATTAAACCCCAAATATCAAAATAACCAAAAAAAAATTAACAAAAAAAAAACTGAATTAATCAAACCCAAAAAACCGAATTGAGTTCGATTTTTGTTTAAAGTTCGGTTTTGTTCACCTTTAAAAGCAGATGGATCCTCCTTAGATATTACTATATTTTACATTATTTATTGGTTGAAGACTGGGAAAATGGTTCAAATAGTGCTTACAAATGTAATTACAAATAACTCACCTACAAGGCTCTCATATCGGTAACATGATTTAAATTTATGACCTTATGAGTTACTCCTCTAGTCCTATTTATATGGCAGAAAGAAAAGACTTTTTTTATTCTATTTACAGGCACTGAGAGAAATTTTTTATATGGAGATATAATTTTACTTTTTATTTATTATTGTTTTAACTTTGTTTATATGAGAATTAAATAAAAATAACTGGCAAGTTGTGAATTTTACATAAGAGTTAATGAAATTTTAGATTTTTGTTGATCTATGTGAAATATATTAGAAGTAACTTATAAATAGAAATGAAAAAATATAAACTAACTTTGGATTAACTTTTGTTGGCCACTGGGGCGTTTTTAGCTCATAACATTTCTATTAATAACTTTTAAAACTTATCTGTGAGTTCCAATTCTCTATACGAAGAGCATAACAACGTTTGGGGGGGAGGGGGAGTGGGAGTTTGGGGGGGCAGTTCAATGTGGGGATTTGAGCCTAGTGCGAAGTTAAGCGCCGAGGCCAGCTGCTTATGTATGACGCATGGGATATTTCTTGCCCACTCGGAATATCCATATCTCCTCCTGGAAACTTATTTCCATATTCTATCCATTTTACTAGAACTAGAGGAGGAGGGAGGGGCAATCAAATGCTGCTTCCTTTTCTACATTTTTTTCCTGGAAAATTCTAATTAAATTCACTTAAAATATTAAAATTCAAATTAAAATATTTTTAATAAATTTCTAATTAAGTCAAGAGGCTTTATTAAGGAGTTTTGAATCACTACTACATAATTACATAATAATTGACAGTTATTTTTTGTCATATTTGATGGTTATAAACTATCAGGTATACTTGCATCATGTATTTGAACAAATAATATTTGGTAGTTATTAACAATCAAATATTTTGGATAATATTTGACGATTCTACACATAAAACTGTCAAGTATTAGAGGGCAATTTGATGGTATTTGGTTTCAATTACTTGACGGTTACTCAAATAACCGTCAAATATTCATGAAATACTTGATGGTTATTCAGAG